CTCAAGTATAGCAAGGATTATGGAGCTGACGTGGGATCAGGCAGTGTTTTGTTCTGCTGTGCAAGGGGTTGCTGTGAGTCAGAAATGACTCGACGGCACCTAACAACAACAACAACAACAACATGTATCCATAAGCACTGAACCTCCAAATTCACTTAAACAGATAGAATTATTAATATTGGTTGACAGGTACTCTGGTCTCCTGCCTGGCTCTAATGTAATTTTGAGTTCATAAGCTTAGAAAACTGTGAAGTGAATGTTACCAACAATGATGCTGTCTGTTCAGTGAGTACACCTCCTCTTGATAGGGTTAAATCTGTCTTAATGGGGTTAGTTGCATTGTGTTAGTCATGGCACAGGTCACCTGGAGATAAAAGCCTTATTAAAATAATGTTAGTCCAAGAGGACTAGTTTGCAAAAAGGTTTTCTTTTCGTATGTTAATGACCCCTTCCAATTAATATTTCAAATTGTCTTCTTTTTATTGTCAATTCAATGTCACAACAGCCCCCTCAGTCCTAAACCAGCCTTGGTTGTCCTTGTGAAATGCTTTTCTTCTTTCAGCTTCCAGTTCATGAGAGCTCCATTCCGTCAGGCCCTTAGTCTCAGCATCTGCATTCCTCCTACCCTTCCCTTCGTCCTTTATGGGCAGTCATTGCTCACCCACTCCATCTTCATGTTTGCTGTGTCTCTTTAATGCGTATATGCTTACTACACTTGTTTGACTTGTTTGCTAAACCAAGTTGCCTATTGCTTTGATTCTGGAACACAATAGTGCTATCTAGATCTTGTCTTTGTGAATTCATTCTCTGTCTCTATAATTCATTCTAAGCTGTGTGTCGTATAAGCTTTTGCACAGCTTAAACTTCATGATAAATCTGTAGGCAATAGTGTTGTTGTTAGGTGCCATTGAGTCAGCTCCAACTCATAGTGACCCTGTGTACAGCAGAATGAAACAGTGCACAGTCCTGGGCCAGCCTCACAATTCTTGCTACACCTGAGCCCATCATTGCAGCCACTGTCAATCCATCTCGTTGAGGGCTTTCCCCTTCTTCATTGACCCTCCAATTTACCAAGCATGATATCCTTCTCCAGGCAATGATCCTTTCTAATAACATGACCAACGTAGGTGAGATGAAGTCTGCCCATTCTCACTTCTAAGGAGCATTCTGGCTGCACCTCTTCCAGGATAGATTTGTTCATTCTTCTGGCAGCCCATGGTACTTTCAGTATTCTTCACCAACACCACAACTCAAAAGCATCAACTCTTCTTCTGTTGTCCTTAATCATTGCCCAGCTTTCACATGCATATGAGGTGATTGAAAATACTATGGCTTGGGTTTGGCACACCTTAGTCTTCAGGGACATCTTTCCTCTTCAGCACTCTAAAGAGGTCATTTGCAGCAGACTTGCCCAGTATAATTTATATGAGTCCATATGAATTCCTTAACAGAAGAAGAGAATTGCAAACTATAGATTCAAACTTATATACTCCCTGTTATGTCCCCATACCTATGTCTATCAATTAAGATTGTGTTTGTCCACTAACATTTCTTTGAAAAAAAATTAACAATGGCTTAAACATATAGTGCATTTATCACACAGAGGAGCTCTGGTGGGGTAGTGCCTAAGACATGTGACTGCTAACCAGAGGGCTGTCCATTCAAACCTACCAGCCACTCCTCGGAAGGAAGTTGGGCAATCTACTTTCATAAATACTGCCTCAGTACCCAAGGAGGGGTCACTATGAATCGGATCCCACTCGAGGGCTGCGAGTTTGGTTTTTTTGTTTTTAGTCCCATGTTGGGCAGGCCAGGCTAGCAGAGTAGGCTAGAAGCATTGAGGAGCCAAGTGTCTTCCATTTGCCTTCACCAAACTTAGTGTATAGGCCTTCATCTTTATCTGAAGTCCTCATGTCCCAAGATGATATCTGCACAACCCTCACCTGCACATCTGGGTTTTGAGTAAGAAATAGGAAAGAGAAGAAGTGGTATGGGCAGGCTTGTGTTTACATCTAACTGGTAAGAACTATGCCGTATGGCTCACATAACTGCAAAAGAGGCTGAGAAATAAAATGTTTGGCAAGTACACGACAAAGGGATAGAATATGAAGATTGGGTCAACTAATCTACACTAGTTTATTTAGTCATATCATACACTAGTTTATTTTTGCACAACTACTCTCCCCAGTTTCTAACTTTGCTTAATTCTAGAACAGCGTTAGTTGTGTTGGATTCTTTGCTATTAAATATGCTGGCAAACTAATTTGTCAACATTTTGTCAAATTATTCCTAGGAAAAATACAGTCAACAATCTGAATTTACTATTGAAAACTTGATAACCACAACAAGTGACCTGTTTGGAGCTGGGACAGAGACAACAAGCAGCACCCTTAGATACGGACTCCTGCTTCTGATGAAGTACCCTGAGGTCACAGGTATGACCACAGATGGTGGGCAGAGGGAAATTCAGAAAGAGATTTCACAAGACACTGCTAGCATTTTCTCTCTTGTTCCTCTTGGAGAAACTTCAACATCTAAATTTCTGTTCCACCAATTGTGATTTATGCAAATTTCATTAAGGACTAACAGAAAGGAAGGACAGTGTGGGCAGTTGAACCATGATAGTTTGGAGGCACTGTTAGAATTCTGTGGGAGGGGATTTGCAGCAGGAAAGGTTCAGGGGCACTAGTGGGCACTCAGGCTAGAAAGTCACCAGTTAGAATGGCCTGGGTAGATAAAGTGGTTGTGAGGAAAGACACCAATAACAAAAGGGAAATGATGGCTTAGTTGAGTTCCCCACTAATTGGAAAATTATTATTAGTAGTTTTAAATACCTACTTGAATATCTGGAAATCATTCTAAATTTATATCTATAAAATTAGTAATTGAGATAGACACTTTTAAATTTAAGAATGTACCAAAAAATGAAACATAAGGATAACATTTTTAGCAGGGAGTGATATTTATGTAGGTATAATGATGTGAAAACCTGAGTATTGATGTAAGTAAAAATTGTGATATAAACATATGAGGGAAATGGAGGGGGAGAAAGGTTTGTGCGAGCTTGTGCGTGTGTGTGTGCATGTGTGCAGGCATGTGTGTGTGCATGTGTGCAGGCATGTGTGTGTCATATTTCACAGCAGGTAGTCATTAGATGTAGTCTAATAAAGGAGAAATTAGGAAATAGAGTTATTATTTAGAAAAATGAACATAAATTTCAGAAGAAATTGCTAGAATTGTTCAAAGTGGCTACCTTTGGGAAGAGGAGATTGAGAAGGTACTATTACAAATTTTGCAGACTCACACATACCTACCTACATGATAAATAAATGTTGGTAGAATTTAATATTAAAATATCATATACTGAAATGACCTAAGTGCCCATCAGTGGATGAATGGATAAACAAACTGTGGTACATACATACAATGAAATACTATGCAACAATAAAGAATAACCATGAGTCCACAGATCATCTCATAACTTGGATTAATTTGGAGGACATTGTGTTGAGTAAAATAAGTAATCACAAAAGGGTAGATATTGTATGATACCACTATTATAAAAAGAGGAAAAGATTTACACACAGAAAATAAAAAATCATTCTTTGATGGTTACTATGGATGGGAATGAGAGGAAGAAGAAATTACTAGTTAGAAGACAGAAGACGTGTAAATATTGGTAGAGGAAAAGGCAATACATAATATGGGAGAAATCTGTGTACATGACCAAGGCAAAGGAAAACTCTGAGAAGACCTCAAATATAAAGGGCAACTGTGATAATTACTATATAACACAGAGAAGCCTACAACAATATTAACAAGCAAAAATTTATGAGTGTATGCATATATAGATGGAAGGAAGGTTGGGCAATCTACTTCTGTAGTGATACCACCTCGGAAACCCAAGGAGGGGTCACTATGAGTCGGGTCTGACTTGACAGCACATAACAACAACAGCAACATGCATATGTAGGTAAGTATGCTAAAGTACACATCCACCTGCAGATATAGATTTAGTTGTGAGTATTTCTACATACCTAATTGCAGGCACTGTATGTATATCTGGAAGGAAGACTGGGCAATCTACTTCTGTAAAGATTTACTGCCTTGAAACCCAAAGGGGTCACTATGAGTCGGAATTGACTTGTGGCAATGAGTTTGGTTTGGTTTTGGCATGCCATACTGGAGGTACTCACTTGGTTATGCCCAGAGATTTGGAAGAAAGCCACCTGGCCAACTGACTGGAAGAGATCCATATTTGTATCCATTCCAAAGAAAGGTGATCCCACAGAATGTGGAAATTATCAAGCAATATAATTAATATCACATGCAAGTAAAATGTTACTGAAGATAATTCAAAAGCAGTTGCAGCAGTATATTGACAGAGAACTTCCAGAAATGCAAACTGGATTCAGAAGAGGACATGGAATGAGGGATATCATTGCTGATGTTAGATGGATCTTGGCTGAAAACAAAAAATACCAGAAGGATGTTTATTTATGTTTTATTGACTATGTAAAAGCTTTCAATTGTGTGGATCATAACAAATTATGGATAACATTGAGAAGCATGGGAATTCCAGAACATTTAGTTGTACTCACGAGGAACCTGTACATAGACCAGGATGCTGTCGTTTGAACAGAAGAAGGGGATACTGCATGGTTTAAAATCAAGAAGGGAGTGCATCAGGGTTGTATCCTTTCACCATACTTATTCAGTTTGTATGCTGAGCAAATAATCTGAGAAGCTGGATTATGTGAAGAAGAAAGTGGCATCAGGATTGGAGGAAAATTCATTAACAATTTATGATATGCAGATGACACAACTTTGCTTGCTGATAGTGAGGATGACTTGAAGCACTTACTGATGAAAATTGAAGACTACAGTCTGCAATTACACCTCAATATAAAGAAAACAAAAATCCTCACAACTGGCCCAATAAACAGCTTCACAGTGGATGGAGAAAAGCTGTCAAGGGCTTCATATTACTTGGCTCTACAATCAACACCAATGGAAGCAGCAGCCAAGACATCAGACAATGTATTACACTGGGCAAATCTGTTGCAAAAGCCCCCTTTCAAGTGCTGAAGAGAAAAGATGTCTCCTTGAAGACTAAGGTGTGCCTAACCCAAGCCATGGTATTTTCAGTCACCTCTTATGCATGTGAGAGCTGGACAATGAATAAGGAAGACTAAAGAAGAGTTGATGCTTTTGAGTTGTGGTGTTGACAAAGATTGCTGAGAGTACCATGGCCTGGTGAAAGAACTAACAAATCTGTCTTGGAAGAAGTGCAGCTGGAATGCTCCTTGGAAGCGAGAATGGCTGACTTCATCTCACCTACTTTGGTCATCTTGTTAGAAGGGACCATTCCCTGAAGAAGAATATCATGCTTGGTAAAGTGGATAGTCAATGACAAAGAGAAAGGCCCTCAACAAGATGGATTGATACAGTGGCTGCGGTGATGGGCTCGGGTATAGCAAGGATTGTAAGGACGGTACAGGACTGGGCAGTGTTCCGTTCTGTTGTACATAAGGTCGCTATGAGTCAGAGCTGACTTGACGGCACCTAAGAACAGCAACAATAATGAATAGAGAAGATATAGCACACAAGAGGCAGAGTCATGTAACATTCTTAGATATAACCTAACACCTCGTGGGATAAAGTCCCTAGGCTCAAAGGGAAAGGACCATTGACTGGGGGATGTCTACGTCAATTGGCACAACATAGTTCATAAACAATGTCTACATCCTACTTTAGTGAGTAGTGTCTGGAGTCTTAAAAGCTTGCGAGCAGCCATCTGGGATACAACTATTGGTTTCTTCCTGTCTGGAGTAAAGGAGAGTAAAAAGGAAACCAAAGTCTCAAGGAGCAGCTAATCCAAAGGCCTAATGGGTCACATGAAGCACGCCCACATGACCCTGAGGCTGGAAGGACTGGATGGTGCCTGGCTATCACAACTGATTGCTCTGACTGCAATCAGACAGAGCATCCTGGACAAACCAGGAGAAAAATGTAGAACAACAAAAAATTAAATTCACAAAAAAGACCAGACTTACTGATCTAACAGAGACTGGAGAAACTCCTGAGATCCAGTCCTAAAACTGCCTTCAGATTTGGAAATGAAGCCTTCCCGGAGACCACCTTTCAGCCAAACAATAGACAGGCCCATCAAATAAATAATAACACCTGAGAGGATAGTGTTCCTTGGAACAATCAATCATATGGATCAGAAGGACAGCATTTATCCAAAGACAAAGGTGAGAAGGCAGGATGGGGTAGAAAATCTGGAAGACAGAGAACAGGGAAATCAGGGCAGGAATGGGGAGAGTACTGACACATTTCGGAGAATGACACCAGTGTCATGGAACACTATGTAAAACTGTCAGACAGGAAACTAATTTGATCCATAAACTTTCACCAGAAGCACAATAAAAAAATAATTAAAACACCATGTATTAATGTGAAATAGAATAACATTTGATTCCTGTTTTTCTTCCTTCGAAGTCAGTAATTTGAGTTAATTGTGTGCTAACTGCTTGTATTTTGAAGCATTTTATTATTTCTCTTTGTATTAGTTATCTTATTGAGGTATGTGGAGATTTATCTTCCTGCTTAGCTTGTAGAAGAGTTACGTGTGTCACTGCTGTCAGTTGCCACTGAGTCAGCCCCAAATCATGGCTGTCCGTGGACAACAGAATGGAACTTTGCCCGGTCCTGTGCTATCCTCCTGATCGTTACTAAGCTTCAGTGCACTGTTGCAGCCACTGTGTATTTGAAACTTCCGACCAGGGGCTCCTCTTCCAGCATTTCATGGGACAGTATTCTGTTGTGACTCACAGGGTTTTCCTTGGCCAGTATTCAAAAGGCCTTCTTTTCTAGTCTATCCTTTATGGGAGCTCCACTGAAACCTACCCATTATTAGTGATCCTGCTGGTATTTGAAATACTGCTGGCACAGTATCATGGCAACATGGAAGCATCCACAGTACTACATAAATGACAGATGAGTGGTGGTATATATGTCTACAGCAATCCTCTCTTTCTGTGGCTAGGTATACTGCTAGGCATATAATTTATATTTATAATGATACTGGGACAATTTTACAACACTTCATGTAGCCCCAAATTACTATGGCCAATGTGTCATTATTTTTCTTCTAATCTATCCACTTTTGCTTATGTCTTAACAGCTAAAGTCCAGGAAGAGATTGACCATGTGGTTGGCAGACACCGAATCCCCTGCATGCAGGACAGGGGCAGGATGCCCTACACAAATGCTGTGCTGCACGAGATCCAGAGATATGCTGACATTGCCTCTACCATCTTGCCCCACATGGTGACTCGTGACACTAAATTCAGAAACTACCTCATCCCCAGGGTAAGATTTGTTTCTTCAGCACTGTGCCTCAAGGTACTTGAAGTCTCCATACTCACAGTGTGACTCCAATCCTCTTCCAACATGCGATGAGAAAACTGCAAAAATAGTAAGAGTGAATTAATTGATTTTATGTTTATAGGTTTGGGCTATAAAGCTTTATTTTAGGTCTTGATATCTGGCAGTATCATCCTCCAAATTTATTACACTTCTTATGGTTGTTTTGGATAATCTAAACTGTTTACATCCCAACTAAATTTTAGTAGCAATTTGTCAATTTCCCAAAACACTCTACTGGAATTTTTGTTAAACCAAAAATAAAATAAAATAAAACCCAAACTCACTGCCATCAGGTAGGATTCCACTCACAGTGACCCTTCCTTGGGTTTCCGAGGTGGTATCACTATGGAAGTAGATTGCCCAATCTTCCTTCCAAGGAGTGGCTGCTGGGTTTGAACCACCAGCCTTCTGGTTAACAGTCATGTGCCTTAGGCACTATGCCACTGTCTATAGATCAATTTGGATAGCACTGACATCTAGACATGTTGAATCTTTCAATTCATGAATACGGCATATGCTCCCAACCTATTTGAGCTTTTGTTAATTTCTTTCACTAATGTTTCATTTTCAGTGCAGTGGCTTGGATATGTTTTGTGAGGTTGTATTATAAGTAGTATTTTGGGGTGTGAAAAATTGTAAAGGAACGTTGGTGGTGCAGTAGTTGAAGTGCTCACCTACTTATAGAAAGGTCACCAGTTCAAACCCACTAGCTAAGCCCCAGGAAAAAAGATGTGGCAGTCTGCTTCTGGAAAGATGACAGCCTTGGAAACTCTATGGAGCAGTTGTACTCTGTCCTATAGGGGTCGCTTGGAGTCAGAATTAACTGAACAGCAACAAGTCATGGTAAATTATGACTTCTAAAATGCCTTGTCTATTGTTCTGCTCAGAGTTTATAAAAATAGAAATTATTTTGTTATCTTAGTGACCTTATATATGGTAATCTTGTTAAATTCACTTATTTCTATAAATAATTTGCTTTTGGATTCATTTGGAATGTGTATGTACAAAATCATATGACCCTTATTCTGCAATATTGAAAGGTATGAAAAATTTTTTAAATGTAAATTTGGTGCAATTTCATTCGGTGGCTGCTTTTGCTTAGGTTCCTAGTGCTACTGTAACAGATATATCACAAGTGGGTGGCTTTAAAGAACAGAAATTTATTTTCTCACAGTTCTGGAAGCTAAAATCCAAATTATGACATTGCTCTGGGAAAGCCACTTCTTTCTCTGTTGCCCTTCTAGGAGTTGGCAATCCTTGCTGTTCCTGGGCTTGTAAATTCATCTGCCTCTTCACCATCTGATAATATCTGTATTCCCTCTGCACCCTCATGTTGCAGTTTCTATGATTTATATATATATATATATAACTCAGAAGTGATGGCATTTAGAATTCATCTTACACTGCTATTATCAACTGATTGATTACATTACATTAGATTGCATTATGGAAGGCAATCTGCTCTAAGCAAGACCAATAGAGTTATTTTCATGATTCAATCATAATAGCATATGGTCAGGATTTTAATACATATTTTGGGGAGGGCACAATGCAATCCATAACAGTGGCCAAAAGATGACTAGAATAGAAGTGAGTCTATTTATATTCTCGATTTACCCCATTAGTGAGAACATTCATATGCTTTGCTAAAGAAATATCAGTCTGTTTGATTATATGGTGCTACTCCACACTCTATTGGGAGTACCATAAAATCTATAGCATATGCATCATAACCTATTTCTAAGAAGTCAGACAATTCTGAAGTTGGAAACATGTTGCGTTCCAGGCGTTTCAGGTAAGAGACTATGTACTAATACATCAAAAAAGGCAAATATTCATATTTTATGGGCTGAAACAGAAAAGTAGAGAGGGGCTAAAATTGTCTCCTGGCACAGGACCATGCAATGTTTTGTTCTGTTGTACATTGGGTCACTATGAGTTACCCAATCAACAGTACCTGATAAAAACAACAACACGGATAATTCTGACATGACTAATGTGAACAATTATGGGGAAAGATCACTTGCTTCCTCTGAGTTGTACAATAAGCATTTAATTTTCATGTGCCCAGATCACACCTCTTTCAGAGTTTTAGATATCTATTTTTCCAGCCATAAAAATGGGTAATGAGAATCACAGTTGCATGTTCAAGGCAGAGGTGGATGATGTATCACTTGTGCATAGTTTCCCCCCTTTGGCTTTTCAAGTTGAATCAGATATGGCCTTCTTGCCAAATACATCCTGAGAAGGGACAACTCTCTAGGCATTCAGAAGTACAAAGGACTTTAAGTCTAGAATCAGGAAGAACTCAGCAGGATCTCGGGCTCTGCCTCTCTTCAACCAAACTAAACCAAAACAAACCAAAAAAGCCAAACTCACTGCCGTCGAGTCAATTCCGACTCATACAGACCCCTCCTCAGATTTCCAAGGCTCAGTCTTCCTTTTGAGGAGTGGCTAGTGGGTTTGAACTGCCAGCCCTCTGGTTAGCAGTCAAATGCCTTAGGCACTAGGCCACCAGAGCTCCTCTGCCTCTCTTAGGTATAAAATAATTATAATAAACAAAAATGGTTGCCTTCAATTCTGTTCTGATTCATGTATACAGAGTAGAACTATGCTCCATAAGGTTTTCAATGACTGAATTTTCACAAGTACATCAGCAGATCTTCAGTTTGTGACTGAGCTTGTTAACTTTTAGCACCAACTAGGAACTCCTACTCTTCAGCATAGCCTCAGTATATTTCTTAATCCTTTGAGTCTTACTGTTTTTTCCCCCTTTTAAAACCCATTAATAATACCTATCATCAGCAGGATGTTGCCATAATTAAACAAAGTAATATAAGCAAAATGTAAGCTGAACTATGAGATACAATTTTCACCCATCAGATTAATAAGTTCAAAGGCTCAAAAAATATTGCATAAGTGAGGAAATGTGCACCCAAAGATATCCACAATCCAAACAGGAACAAATATTGAATTGGTTATTTTGTCTTTTTAGTCTCCTGTTACTGACAGTAGTACCTTTTCCTTGGTTTGTTTCTGCATGGACATCTTTGAAGATTTCAGCCTAAGAAGCTGGATCTGGTTAGTGGGATTGTTTTGTGTGATTGTTTTCTCTGAGGTTAGATCCCAATTACATATCTTTGGGAAAAAAAAAAACGGAAAAGGTGAAGTTATGTGTCTGTGAAAATGGTGCATGGGTGATGTCTTCCCTCCACTAACTTCTCAAGGGAGAAAGAGAATCAAGATCTACATCAACAGCCAAGGCTGATTCCAATAATGCAGAAGTCACACATGCCTCCATCTTCCAATGTTTTTAACTAATTCTAACACCGACTTTCCCTCCCATAATATACTCTTCTCCTTTTCTGTGTCTAATAATTTGTTCCAATGGCCGCACATAACTCACAGACAATACTCATGGTTATGGAGCTTATTAAGGAAGTAATAGGTTACAATTCAGGATGAGAAATAACTCAGGAGATAGTCCTTCAATTGGATCAATTTCTTCTCAGGCATGCTGACAGGCTGATCTCTTGCTGGTCCTTGGCCCCACAGAACTGTGGCATGTTCCCTGCACTGCTTGGGCAAGTGTTACAAAGCTCTTTTGAGCTCTGCTGATAAGGGTCTGGAAGCACTCCATTCCACCAACAAGTATCCTGCCCAAAGCTGCTCAGCTTTCTTGCTCCATGGGCGGGGAAGCCCACCACATCATCTGCTCCTGGCCTTTTGGTTCGCTACCACTGTTGGTCTGCCAATACTTCTCATCATCTCTTGTCTCCAATGTTATAGGCCTCTCACTGTCTCCATCTCCCGGATCTAGGAGGTTCTCAGCATAGGGATCCTGGATGAGCTCTGCTTTCAGCTCTTCTTTCTTCGATGGTAGTGAGATTCCCCTGCTTCCTGCCTCTGGGATGGCTCATTTTAAGCCTAGCAGGATGGCAACACTGATGAGTCCCAAAATTAAGGTTCTGTATACTTTATTTGCATGGTCCCACCCCCCACAAAGATGCAATGCCCCTTATTTATATTATTAAGAAGCTATCCAATCCTTTTCAAGGGCCACAAGCTCTTCACATTCACATAGTCCCACCCAGTCATTTGGTGGGAATTACAAAGACTATGTTTACAATGGCCATGTTAAATGTTTCACTGCATCACAATGTCCCATTGGATTCCATTGTGGAGCCAGGGCACATATCAGCTTATTCCATTGTTGGTAATGCCAAGAGGGTGTCCATAAGATCTCTATCTACATTGAGAAGATGTAGTTTTGTATAAGGAGCTCTGGTAACATAGTGCCTAAGGCACTTGACTGCTAACCAGAAGGCTGGCGGTTAAAATCCACCAGCCACTCCTTGGAAGGAAGGTTGGACGATCTACTTCTGTAGTGATACTGCCTCGGAAACCCAAGGAGGGCTCGCTTTGAGTTGGGTCTGACTCAACGGCATATAACAACAACAATAGTTTTGTATGTAATTAATTAAAATACATGGCATGATACTTTAAGCACTGTGAATATCCTGTTTCTCAAATCCTTCATTTAACAGTTTTAGCATTGATTGATGATCTGATTGATGGTGCTTGCCTGAATTTATTATTCTTGTCTGAATTGTTACAAAATGGTGATTCTTCTAATTTTGTTATCCCTTCTGCAGTTTTATCTGGGATTAATTTGTAAAGAAGAGCTCCCTATCATTTTCAAATTAAAACCATAAGAACGATGTGAGACTGGGGAAAATGAAGTGATGAGCTGGGGTAGCAAATGGAAACAGACAGTGTGTCCAAACTTGGCTGTTGTTGTTAGGTGTCAATCAAGTCAGTTGACTCACAGCAACTCTCATGTACAGCAGAATGAAACACTGCCATTCCTGTGCCATCCTCACAAATGAGTTGTGGGATGACATCCAGAACATCAAACATGAAAGCAAAAGCTTGTTCAAAAAGTCTTGCTCTTGAGTGGAGAGTAGCTAAATTGAATGGAGGAAATGATGAAGTAAAAAAGCTGAACAGAAGATTCCAAAGGGGGGCTTGAGAAGACAAAATAAAGTATTATAATGAAATATGCAAAGACCTGGAATTAGAGAACCAAAAAGGAAGATCATACTTGGTATTTCTCAAGCTTCAGGAACTGAAGAAAAAATTCAAGCCTTGTTGCAATACTGAAGGATTCTATGGGCAAATTATTGAATGATGCAGGAAACATCAAAAGAAGAGGGAAGGAATACA